AAAAAAAAAAAAAAAAAAGACATTGACAAATTGTTATTACCAAAATCAATCTCCATAACTAAAGACCAATGTCTCAGAAGGCTCTCTAAAAAAAAAACGTACATTTGTCTTTAGTAGAACTGATTACTGCAGGTCTGCCTAAAAAGGGGATCAGACGGCTGCTGTTGATCCGGTGTCCTCACTAAAACCAAGGAAACGAAGCACAACAATAAAGTTCTAAAATAATTACACTGACTTTTTGTATATCAAGGAATATACGTTAATATACTAATTTTAGTCTGTCAAACACTGAATTGCTTAGCACTAAAATACATTAAACTTGTTGTCAATGTATCAACCTTCGGGATATCTCAGTTTTTCTGGCCTGAGTCCAGTCTGCAAACCCAGAACAAGAATCAAACATAGAGACGTTTTTATGCTCCACTAACCTGGAAAAAAAAAAGAAAATCTTCTAGAAGACTGCAAAGGAGCTGAAATCCTGAATTCATTTAAATCAAAATTATAAACTCCCTTGTTTAGAGTTACTTTTGCCTCTGCTTTTTAAGCTGTTAACTAAAACATAAGCAGTTTAAGTTTGTTATCCAACTTTCAATCACCTGCAACAATTATGCCTCCTCAGCATTATTTTCTTTCAGACTTTTTTTTTCTTTTGATTTGATACAGCAGTGAATTTTCTGGTCACTGAAAGGTACTTCATAAATAAACTTACCTTGCCTAAAGAGCGGCAGCGACACATTTTGGTTGCCGATGTGTGAATATAATCTGGCATAAGCCGCAGTTCTGTGTGCTGATTGGGTAAGTCCCAAAGTGATAACTGCCCGCCATGTCCAACTTTTAGCCAATCACAGCAGCAGTAGTAAATCACATTCTTGATTTGTTTCACAACTAGCAGAATTATCAGATATATCAAACTCTTGCCAAATCCAGTCGGGAGGAAATCGCAAACTTTTCCATCCATAAAGACAAAATCACATTGTTTTTTCAAAAAGAAAAAAAAGGATATTCAAGCTAAAACTGGCACGGATTTTTTTTTTTTCCTTCAGCCTTATACCTCTGGTTGACTTAACATACGTCACTGCATTTCATTGGTCCGAAACATTTCTGTATTGAGGCTAGTGCAACTATTGGCCTCTGGGAAGATGCATTTTTAGGAGTTTGTGAATTCACAGATTTAGAGACAATTCATCTTAGGCTATGTGGATATGTGGGCACATTATATTTTGAAGGATGTTGAATTAATTGTCTCTTCAATTGATTTAATTTTTCAAAAAACTATTCCTTAATATTCTCATTGGGTCAGGTTATATAAATCGATCTGTGATATTTGGTTTATTTCCTGCAGCATTACTATGACCGCCTGCTCCTCCATCTTGGCCTTGGGCATGATGCCACTCTGCTTGTTCATCTACACTAGCGTCTGGACTGCCAGTGGCACTATAAAGGTTCCTTTTGACAGTATCGGTAAGCAAACAGATCTACTGTCTTTATATTTTCTATAATTATCGCTAATAAATCTGAAACCTTAAGGCCTCCTACCATGCATTTTTCATTTGTGTTTGCTTTTTTCAATTTGGAAGAGTAGCACCTGCTCGTTGACTGACCTTTTTATCTTTGCTTGCTCAGGAATCACTCTTGCAGCACTTCTGATACCCATTGCAGCAGGGATTTTTGTAAAAACCAAGTGGCCTCGTATTGCAAACAAGATCCTCAAGGTAATAATGCTTTAGATTTAGTTGTGCAAGCTGTTGACCAATAAGAAGCCATAGACAGAGAGTAAGTGAAGTATTTTTGTGCCCATTTTCACAGGTTGGTTCAATCGCCGGGTTTGCTCTCATTATCGTCATAGCGGTGGTGGGAGGCGTCCTCTACCAATCCTCCTGGGTCATTTCTTCTTCCTTATGGATAATCGGAACCATCTATCCCTTCATTGCCTTCAGTATGGGTTTCTTAATGGCCCGGTTTGTGGGTCAGCCCTGGCACAGGTGAGCAAAAAAACAAACACCTCAGAAGTCAGTATTTCTTTATACTTAAACTTTGCCCCCATCAAGGTAAACAATAAGGAAAGAGGAAAACCACCATAATTACAGATTAGATTTTTTTTATGAGGGTCATCATTATTACTTCTTTTGTTCAGATGTCGAACGATTGCACTGGAAACTGGTTTCCAGAACTCCCAGCTATGCACCACCATTGTCACACTGTCCTTCTCCGCTGAGGAGCTGGAGGTCATGTTCGCATTTCCTCTGATCTATAGCATCTTCCAGCTCGGCATGGCTCTCATTGCTGTGATTGGTAAGTTTCACTGGAAAATAACTTATTGTATGTATTTTTTCCAGGATATCAATGTTGTATTAACCAGTAATGTTTCTCACTGTCATCCTTTCTTTGACAGCCTTCCAAGTATATAAAAGGAAATGTGGAAAAGGTTCTCTTAAGGAGGACAGCGCAGCAGAAAATGAAGAAACAAAGCAAACAGATTTCTCTCTGGATAACAAAGCGTTTGACTCTGACGAGCTGAGCGGCACCTTTGCACACATAAAGGAATGAGATTCCAAATGGCTGCCAATGATTGACTCTAGACCTTCTGATTAAAGCAGCACTATTGAACTGTGATCAGACACTGCTCTCTACAGGCTGAAATATAAATCACACAACAACTGGACAAAGTTTGGAAAGATTTCTGTCTGATTAGCAAGAGGTCAAATGAAGGGGGGGGGGGCCCTGACTGACCCAATATGGAGTTTATTTTTGAATGCGGTTAGGCATTGAGTCCTGCTGTCTTTTAATGTATTAATGTAAATAGTTTTTAAAAGAATCAAGTATCTTTGTCTTTAATGGTAAAGTGACTAAATGTCAGAACTGTTTAAGAAGTTTTAGTTTGATATATTAGAGGCTTGATTTCAGCTATGTCTCATTAAAATCTTATTTTTTTTAAGAAGTTTTTTCTTTTTTCTGCACATTAATAAAATTGGGTGAACATTCAAAGAAATTAGGGCTGATCTGATTTTTTTTCCCCAGTTTTTTTCAGGTTTTCTGAGAGAACACATGCAATTTACACTAACAATATGCATTATAAAATATACTGTATTTGTGTTCTTTTTAACGGGTTGATAGAAATAAAAAACTTGCATAAATGGGAATTCATCAGCTGTTATTAAAGAACACTCAGACAAGTGTTGCAGTTGCTGAAAAAATGGTATATATATTTAAATATTAACATCTCAAAGGGCTTAAATAAACTGTTAAGGTGTTAAGGTGTTGTTTCATACAGGCAACTATTTAGAGGAAAACTGATGTTTTGATTTAATACAAAGAGTTCAATAAGTATTACAGTATAAATATATTTTTTTCAAAAGTATGTACACATGTATATTAAGTAAACAATGCAAAATATTTGTATCAACAATAGAACCCAGATCTAAAATGTAAAGTGAAAACAAAGCTACTCCAAGATGGATCCTTGTGGAGCTCCACGTGTAAGTGGGGCAAAAGATGAAGATTTAAAACCAAAATTATCACCCCTGGATTTGTAGATAAATGCATCCTTTCAGTAACTTAAAGATACCATAATCCAAATGTTACTCTAATTAAAACATACTAAGACTGCCCAGAAACTATACATATGAACAAAGATGCTACTCTTCAAAAAAGGAAACACAGGGACTTAATAATTCATACCAGGCAAATATGTGCTGATCTTCATATCTGAAGAAATTAAATATATTTACTGCTGATCTAAACTTGTAAATATCTACACTTCAAGCACTCCTAAGTTTGAAATAATTGGAATTGTGAGAAAGAAAGCTGGACAAGGACCCATCCTCCTCAACCAATGTTAAGACTTTAAACATGGTAAGGGAGGTGCAGTATTTAATAACTCCAAATCTCTCTATTACAGAGCCACAGCCAATAATATGAATAAGTTTCCATTAAAAGCACAAGAGCAACTTACCCCCTTTCCTTTACGATTCCATTTAGCAAACACTAGATCAGGGGTCACAAACCTTTTTAAGGCTGAGGGCCACTTCAAGGGTACTGAGTCATAGAAAGGGCTACCAATACTGACCCATGCACAGCAAGGGTCAGTGTTCACCTAAACTTCATTATAAACATTTTTATTGTTTCCTTTAAGTTCTAATTGTATTTTAGACATTGTCATTTTTAAAGGATCTATAAATTATTAAAAAAGGAGAAAAACAGAATAGAATAAAAATTTCAAACAGCCTACTGGTGAATTGTTCTTTTCTTAGAAGTCTGAGGGCACCCCATGTGGTCCATGAGGGGCCCCTTGGTGCCCGAGGGCACCACGTTGGTGACCCCTGCACTAGATGGTTTGAATTTGACACATAATACGAATACAGGAAGTCACTTAAAAACATCCCAGTCATTCAAATGCCTGCCAGTTTCTAGTAACTTACTATTCGAATGTAATTCCAGAACCATTTATTTACCATTTCATAGGTGTTTCCTTCACTTGCATGGGATTGTTGTTTTTTTTGTTTTGTTTTTTTATACATATATATATATTTCTGAAATTTTGCAACTTCTAAATTTTCATAGATGGCTCTTCTTCAAAATAAAAGGTTATTGTCACCCAACCTATTCTAATTGTCCTCACCACCAAACACATAATGCACATTAATCATCATTAAGTCATCATCTTCATTTTCTACTAACTTTTCTCTTATTTTTTTTTGGAAAAATCTCCATTCCAAAGTATATCACAACACAACTGAACATACCGTCCTAATGAGTCAAGGCTTAGCGGCTTCCATAATTATGGCCTTGTGGCAACTGGGAGGGATGCAGGTAGCATAGGGATGCTTGAGGCTGCTACTGTAGGTGCTTTACTAGAACTGAGACATTTTTCTCTCATTCATGTCAGCTTTTGTTAGTCTATTAAGTAAACCCCACCTAAATCATGTCAGTTTGTGATGTGTTGAAATCTGAAAATCCATTAAGGGGTACAAATACATTTGCGAGGCTTTTTATGCTATCAAAGTCAGACACTTCATAGCTTATAGTAGACCATTCAGGCTTTGGGCTTACATTTATAAAGCGATTCATTTTAAAGAAAGTGCACTGTGATAATAATAAATAATTATAATAATAATATGGGCTACACATTTTGTTTCTCCTCATAATTGCATACAGCTTATGTTTAATTATGCCTTAAAGGAATAGTTCACCCAAAACATGATTAGCCTTCATTTTCTACTCACCCCCATGCTGAACAACACTCTGGAGTACTTTTTTGATCTCTCAAATGCTTCTGGAGATCTGGGAGGCTTCTTGCTGTCTGCTGACATTCAAATAATGGAGGTCTATGGTGCCCGAG